CGTCCAAGCGCCGGAGTACCTTTCGCGAAGATCGGACGAGTGACCTGTAGGCACCCACCACTGTATATGTAAACAACCGAAATGCGGTGAGGAACGGTCGTCCACAACCTCAGACTGTGCTTTGCCAACCTTGAACGGGACACCTTGAGACAGTTCCTCATCAGGCGGCCTAACAATCAGAAAATCACCTTTGTTTATATGGCGCCGAGGGTCGAAGTCCACTTTTGGACGGCCCGCCCTCGGTCCTACATATATAAGCGAAGCATCTGGCGAAGGAGGGTCGACTTCTTGAACTTCCTCCACAGTTTCGACTTATTGTGGCCAGAAGGTGTGAGGGTAGATCTCGGGCTCGTCCGCCTTAAGGACATCCTCTTCCTCACCCTCTTCCGTCTCCTTCTTCTTTTGCATTTGGATCATGTCGTTCGCCTCGACGAAGATGGTTTTCCAGTAAGACAAAGCATCCTCCTGCTTGTCGACCTCCTCCTTCCTATATGTCTGCCACATGTGTCTGTGCTGTTCGAGGACGTCCACAAATTTTTGGACACTGTCACGAGCCATCCGAAAATCGTCTTTAACGACACCAAGAATAACACACGGCTATGGAGGGGAGGTAGGGCCTGCATACTGCCCATCAACAACTGGGAACCAGTGAACTGGTCTGCCTTCCGGCATCCATTCCGCATCGGTACAGTACTTCTTGTACACCATGACGGGACTGCCGTCATGCATGAAGAATTTGAAGAGATGCAGTTTCGACACGCCAACGATGCTTTTGTCGACGTATCGATCCACTACCCGGCGCCAATCGGCAAGGTGATTGAGTTCAATGCACTTCGGCGGTATCTTGTGCGACGACTCGATAAGCGAGAACAACTGCTTCATGGTGTAAGCATCCTTTAACTTCAGTTTCTTCGAGAAAACACTAAAAATCGCGTCTATGTTGGTATGCGTGTGGCCAACGAGCATGAACCCCACTTCGATATCTTCGAAAATCCCGAAATTCACCAGAAGAGAGGCCAAACACATAAGGTATTGGTTTTTGTTTTCCCTCCAGCAATTGTCCGCCTGGATTTGGAGGTGGTGTGACCATTTCTGGCCCGACGCCTGCAACTCACATAGAGTCCGCATAATGCACGTCATGGTGCCATCGGAACCGTGCGCATAGAAAGGCAAATACATGTAAACATAAATGGACGGTTTCCTGCCGTGAGCTACGACCGCGGTCAGGTTCGTTTTCATCATCATGTCGTGTCGATGATCCTTGGAGTAATTATACATGCCGATGTGAGTAATGGTTACCTTTTTCTGATCCATTCCATCCACTATAAGCCAGAGGTATTCCGCGGGGTTCAAAATGGAACGAAGTTTCCAGTCAGCGTAATCCGCACGGTGAGCGACCTGATCTAGTTGGTGTTTGCGGTGCTTTTCATCGAAATCCCTACGGTCACGAAGGAGAAAGGCGCTATCTCTGACATGTCTAAGGCGGACGCACTCGCCACACTTTGTGAACGAGTTGGACTTAGCAAGATCGGCATGCCACAAGTACTTCCTCCATATGGAGTAGAAGACTTGCTCCGAAACGACGGTCTGACCCGCCGCTTCCAAGTCCGCCTTGATGGACTCGTATACAAGGAGCTTCGTGAAATAAGCAGGGAGCCTAACTTTAGGTCATTGTGAGGTCCTCCTCACAACCATTTCGTTAGGCATAGCATCTCCATGTTCTTCCACGAACCTTGTCACACGAGCCAGCATGCTCATATACTCCGGTCTCAGATTCAACAATCCCCATCGACCATGATGGCCACGGACGACCCCGTCCAACTTGCACTTGCTATAACGACAAAATGTGTTTTGACATATCCCTATTATTTTGCACCAACCGGCGATGCACACACGGCGTTTGCACAACACTGGTTGGACTCTTTCCAGACCGCCGTCGAGGATAGTGAAATTGTCGAGGGTTTGCATCCACCACTCGATCCTCCTTTCGAGGGACATTTCGCAATAGGTTTCGCGCACCGGTTTGATATCGTCAATGGTCAAGACCTGAAGACACTTGTTCTTACAACATTTGTGCGTCGGGACGTGCGCAATGTTAGTTTCATTCAATCGACTTTTGGCCCTCTTCGAATGCTTTGACCTTCTAACTGGCCTATTTTTTCGATTATATCTTCGCCTTTCTCCAGGTAGGGGATAAGACAAAACTTGAAGGACTGCTTCGGGAGTTCCAAGTTGGCTTTTGGTCGGTGACCTATGCGCTGCACCTAGGAATTTTGATCTGTCCGTGGGAGCGGTTCTCGGCAAATCAGATTGGGAGAATTCTGATGAACTGTGGAAGTCTGTGTCTACAAAACCAGTCTGCCAATTTTCCATTGCACCCGTGGCTGTCATCGACGGAGAGCCAACTTTTTCGGCTTCACATGCAATTCTCTTACCTATCTTCGCACTTTCACACGCACGTTCCGTTGCCTGGTCCCTATCATACCTGTTTCTAGCAAATGCACCGCACTGTTCCCGATCAGTTTCGTTTCTATCTTGCGCACTGCAGAAGTCTGTGTCCACCAACGACCGACTGTAGTCAAATGCTAGGGGTTGGGTAACTTTGATGCTTTCAGACAGTCTACCCGCTGTCCGCACGAGGTCTGATCCGGTCGTTTCGGACATACCAGAGAAATCTGTATCCACGAACATCCACCCACCGGAAAACGTTTCGACATCCCGAACACCCTCACTACTGGGGATTAGCGCTGTAGATACGCGCTGACCGTCGGTTACGTCGGTAAAGCGAACAAAACGACGCCGGGCGGACATCGTAGACGAGCCTGAATGATTCATCGGGGTCAACATCGAGAACTCCCTTTTCAAACCGCAATGCTGATCAGAGGGAGCTTCCGGGCTGCTGTCACAAGAACTACGTTCTCGAACATCGTCTTCTCCGTGTTGTTGTGACGGTGGCGTGACACAGTGGACGGATTGGACAACCATTTGAAGAGACGATTCACACGGAAACTGTACAACAAGAAAATCACGTCAACGTATGACGAGGTCAGGGAAATAACCAAGAAGGAGCAAACTCGCATTTCTAATATTTATCACAAAACAGTGGAACAACAACATTTGAATCCATATCGTTTTGTCGGACCCTGATGTGAGGCTCAAGTGGTATCTCACGTCCGACTCCTCTCCCACTCGTTCAGTGTGCAAGTGGTTTGGATATGTCCGAGTAAATTCTCACTTTTTCAGGCGAGAGTACAAATGCGAGCTGATTCGGGTTATTTAACGTACAGTAAGAAATTGAGTTCATGGTCGGAACAAGAGCGAACACAAGTGCGAGTCAATTCGGTATTATCCACTAAACAACAAACAATTTCAAGTGCCAAAAAATTCGCACTTCAGAGGAACATTTCAATTACGTCGTGCAATAAGAAATTGCCTTCGTGGTTAGTTCAGTGGCGAGTTAACTCGCAAATACAAAAGGACTTCATTCTTTTGGGCCGAGAAGAGACGCGACTTATCGACTAAACAGGAACAAATTGAGGGGGATGGTTGGTTGAAGAGTGAATAAATTCGCACTTGCAAACGAGCATTTCTATTATGAAACTGGGGCTTATGGACTAAGAAGTCACAAATTTATGGGTATGGTTGGTTGAAGAGCGAATAAATTCGCACTTGCAAACGAGCATTTCAACTATGAAACTGGGACTCATGGACTAAAGAGTAAGCAATTTAGGGGGATGGTTCGTTGAAGAGCGAATAAATTCGCACTTGCAAACGGGTATTTTCATTACGAAACTCGTGGCACAAGTGCGAGTTAATTATGACCTATGGCTTAAACAGTAACAAATTAAGGGGTTCGTTGGTTCAAGAGCGAACGAATTCGCACTTGTAAACGAGCATTTCCATTACGAAACTGCGGGTACAAGTGCAAGTTGTTTCCGGCTTGTTCTGCGTGTAGTACGAGCCACAAATCGTCGCAACAGAGAAATAGGAAAAGATGGCATACTATTTTTTAAGATGGGCAGACGGCGCATCGATCAAAATACATGGAGAGAGATGGCGCACCGAATGAGAGAGATGGATGGAGTCACAGTCTTCCCCCGAATACAACGTACGGTCATTACAACTGAATTCGGGTCATCTTTCAGTCTAAAGACAACTATAATGAAAGTACGTTGTATATTCCGGGGAAGAAGGTAGATGGCGCAGGAAGGGAAAGAGATCGCGAACTGATTGGGAGATGTGCCACAACGAGAGAGAGATTGCGCATCGATGGAGAAACATGGCGCAGCAATGGAGATAGCAGGCGCAGCGATGGTTACCGATAGCACAGCAATGGAGAAAGATGGCGCACCGAAGCACAAAGATGACGATGGAGATAGATAAGGAAAGCGTGGCGATGGAGATAGATGACGAAGGAGATAGATTAGGAAAGATAGCGCACCGGAGGAGATAGATGACGAAGGAGATAGATTAGGAAAGATACCGCAGCGATGGGGATAGATGACGAAAGGTCGGTAGAGATCGCGCATCGGTGGAGAGAGATGGAGAGAGGACGCGCAACAATGGTTAGCGATGCCGCAGCGATGGAGAAAGAAGGCACAGCGATGGCCAGGATTTGTTATTGCACAACATCAGTTCCATCGAGTTAAACCTTCGTTAAGCATACATGTGACTTGTTTCGTGCGATTCCACAGTGATGGGCGACTGCAACGACCGCGGGATCGCGCAGGAGTAATGAAGAGCCTCTGGGGCAAGGATGGAGGTTGCCCGGTGGTCGACACAGATCGTGCAGTGATGGAGTGACATGGAGAGTGATCACTCAGCGATGAAGGGAGATCGTGCGGCATGGAGAGAGAAATCGCGCAGCGCTGCGGTGGGATAACACTGGCTAGGGCTTCGATAGCGATGGTCAGCGCTGCAGTGGAGAGCGGTGGCGCACCGTTGGAGAGCGATGGCGCAGCGATGGAACGTGTTACAATGCAGTGATAACGATAGCGATGGCAGCGATGGAACAGCGATAGTGATGGCGCAACGATGGCGCACCGGTGGAGAGCGATGGCGCAGCAATGGCACGGCGATGGAACATCGATAGCGATGGCGCAACGGTGGAGAGCGATGGCGCAGCGATGGAACAGCGATAGCGATGGCAGCGATAGCGATGGCAGCGATATCGATAGCGATGGCAGCGATAGCGATAGCGATGGCGCACCGATTGAGAGATGGCGCAGCGATGGCCAGCGCTGTGATGAGAGCAATAGCGATTGTCAGCGCTGCGATGGTCAGGCAAGCGCGACGACTGCGATGGGGGATATAGCTTTGCGTCGCGATGGCGATGAGCTAAGCGCATCAATGGCGATGGTGCATGGCGAGCGTTGGTGATGGCGATGAGCTAAGCGCATCGATGGCGATGGTGCATGGCTAAGCGCATTGATATCCAACGCCGTTGACATTTGCAAAATGGCTGAATGACAGCGACACCGGAACTTATAGATTTTCAGGGTTTTTGAACTCGGCGCACAACGAATCGCCGCTCCTCGGCGCGCAACGAACCGCCTCAGCGCACAATGAATCGCAGCACCTTATACATTCTTGCACCTGACCTCGTGCGTCGGATCATGCCGATCGACGGTCTAGATTAGAACTGCGAAAATGATATTGCCTGCCTCTTGTTTTTGGGAACTGTCACATTATTGCACGCCGGAGTTTACGGAGATTTTGGGGCCACTGGCATATCAGTGGCTCCGTTCATCTTTGCGGTTGAAAATTGTTGATCGACGGCTGACAATTTCCGGTACCCCTTACCGTTTATAGGCCTTGGTGTTTTATGGGCCCAGGGGTGCGATACGCGAATCGATTCGGCCCCACCTTGATGGCGTTTTATGGGCCCAGGGGTGCGATATGCGAATTGATTCGGCCCCACCTTGATCCCGACGCGAGGCCTGCTATAGCAAAGTATAAGAGGCGTTGCAGCCCTCGAGTTATCCCTTTTGTTGGCGCTCCACATATCAAGTCACGCTACCGCTTCCACGCGCGTTCTAATATTTGGTCTTCAGCCCCCACCACTTTTCGCCATAGCCCGCTCACTCTTCGCTCGTCGCTCCGTCCGCAGTTGCCACATTGTGTTCGGTTCACTGTTCGCTCTTCGCTCTTCGCTCTTCCTAGCTCGATATCCCTCCACCATAGCTGGTTCGGTGGTCGCACATCCATATCCGTCTGACGTTGGTTGCTCACTCAATGCACGACGAAGGTAAAATTATATAACTTGAGTTGTCCTATTCTGTGTCCAACGTCCGAACACATTCCCAGATGCCCTATCTGTACCTGCAGGATATAACGCCGCAGTCGCGTTCTGTTGAACCCTGAATCAATTCCCGGTTTTGTTGTTTCGCCAGTGGACGTGTTCTGATGTCTTTTCTCCACCATCCMCCTCCGTCCGCCATAGCCGATCCGCGTTTCGCAGCTCGATTACCTTTCGCCATAGCCACGATAACGTTCGTATAAAGTTGCTCGATCCCCTTCGCAACTTGTAGTCGTCGCTGCGCATGGCGAACCCCGAATCAATACCTAGTTTCTATACTGAACACCGAATCAATTCCCGATTTTCGCTCACCTGTCCCTTGTGAGGTCGCCGACCTGATATATATATATATATATATATATATATATATATATATATATAGAGAGAGAGAGAGAGAGAGAGAGAGAGAAAGAGAGATTGCGAGTCAGTTCCCAGTTTGCGACATACAGTCTTCGAGGACTGACAACTGCGAGGTAATTCGCAATTTTCCCAAGGTTAGACACATATTTCATTAAAGGCAGTTCTTTATTTCCACAAATGCGAGTTAGTTCGCACTTTTTGAGCAACACTGCTGGAGGAGTTGATAACCCATCCCGTGCGGCTTTCAGGTCTTCAGTTCCACAATTCCGAGTTAGTTCGTACTTTCCCCTAGTGCTGCGGGTTGCCATTGTTGTCTTCTCTACAGAATTGCGAGTTAGTTCGCACTTGTCGACACCCTTCGCACTTGTCGATAAACCACATCTTACTCGTTTCGAGGGCATCTAGTCGGGTCGCAATCTTTCCGAAGAGTTGTCGTCTTCCCTCCGAACTCACTCTTCCAGCCACCCAATTGTTTTGTATTCGTTTGCATTTCAAACACCAATCTCATTCTTCGGTTTTCTTGAACCCGGAACTGCATGTGGGTTCCCTCTTGTCGATACCCATGCGGTGCTCGTTGTAGACGACTTCATTCCCGAAACTCCAAGTTAGTTCGTACTTTCCTGAAGATAAATCACCTCTTCCTCGATTCTACGACAGCGAGCTCGTTCGCACACTGCCAAAGGACTGCTGTCTTTCCTATCCTTCACCCGATTGTTGTGACTTCGTGTTCATTTCGAATACCCATCTCTTACGTCCTTTTTGTCCTCCATTTCGTTAAGTCCGAGTTAGTTCGCGCTTCGCTTCTGTAGTTGTCTGGGGTTGGGCGTATTAGTCATCCGAGTTAGTCTGAGGTTGGCCGTGTTAGTCAACGGGTGGGAGTACAATGGCGTCCGCAAAGAACACATCCACAAGCGCTGGACCATCTGCCCCCGGGGAGGGACGACCTCTTCAGCAATCTACTCCTCAATATATGCACGCAATGGGACCACAATGGTTTTTGGACTTCGTTGCTCAGGCGGACCTTTTTGGGCCAGCTGTTTTCATGCGACCCACTTGCGTTCCAGATGTTGGGGGAGCGGACAACGTTTTTTCTCTCGGTACCATCGTCTCGTGCGCCAAGACTCCTGGAGGTTTGTTGAAGCTGCACACTAACGGCTTCTAGGACGAGTGCTGACTGCCTCTCAGAGGTGCTAAGGGTGTGCAGGTGACCATCAAGAGTTTCCCGGAGTACGGCTCGAACATGACGTTGTGCTCTCACTTCAAAGGCCATTATGATGGCGGCAGCAAGCATCTTCCATCGCCGGAGCAATAACACGATCTCGCGCTGATGGTGTCGAAAGAACGTCCGGTTCTTCCGTGAGAACATATTTTTCGGCTTCTGCCACCCCATGAGGTGTCGTCCGACTAGGCTCAAGAAACTCCAGGTGCGGCAGTGGGGTGCGGGAGTCCAATTCAAGATGCTAGGGGTCGGGTCAAGGGGCGTGCGCGCAGCGTTCACACGCAAGTCGGCCCAGATGCTCCTAGGAACACGTCGGACTTGCATTCTCAGGGTACAGGTAGTCAACGGGTCGGTATTCCGAAACTCATCAAGGTCCGCTGAGGCGGCGATACATATTCGCTTCGAGATGAGACGAGAAGAGAATCCGACAGATCGGGGCAAGATGTCGGACGGAATGAGGCTGAATGGATGGGTGTTGTCCGCGAAAGCTCTGGCGGGGAGCAGACTCCTTCAGAGAAGAAGCGCGAGCGACAGAGGATGGTGTGAGAGGAGGTGAAGGAAGGAACCTTCCGTATAAAGAGGATGAGAGGAAAATCGGAGGCGGTGATGGGCGGGGATGGAGGCGACGTCGGAGGACGTGCCTCAGGAAAGAGGCCGCCGAAGGCGAAGGAAAACGGTGGGACGACAAGTAAGAAAGCAAGGAGGCCCGACGGTTTGACCATCCGCGAAGGATAAGTCGTGGGTGGAGGAGATTCGGTTGATCCAGGCGCTGCGGCCGCGAGAGAACCTTCGGGGAAATCGAAACGGAAAGTGGCAGCTGAAGAAGGCGATGGCCAGAAGAAACCTCGAAGGCGGAAGACTGTTGAGGCGGTGAGCGGTGGCGAACGGCCTGACGGTGAGCAGTGCGACGAAGCGGAAGCGTTCTGGCTCGAATACGAGCGGAACGATGGCGGTGAAATCGTGGAGAAGGAGCTCCCTGTCCAACTGCTCATCGACCCCAGGAAGGTCTGCGATATCCCGTCTTGGGAAAGATATTACAACCACTGCAGTCTAAATCGCGAAACTGTGGACGACATCAAGGCTGCGATGCTGAGTCAATTCCGCGAGAAAAGGGGGAAGATCTGGACGAAAAACCCTTTGGTTATGGCACCCATCTACAAGTCGGTGGCGCGTAGGCCGGAGAAAGCTGATAAGGTTCACAAAGATGTCTTCAAGCCAGAGGACAAGGACAAGTACTACTATTACCCTGTTAACGGTCAACACACCGTGGCTGCTGTGAAGGAGTTGGAGGGTGAGCCAATATTCGATTTGTGGAAGATGCGCTCGTGGCCGACGAGAGTAGTGTGGTTCTCCGACCGAGATTTCGCCCGCGGATTGCACGAACACTCCCCTTAGCGCGAGAATTCGCCCGCGGATTGCTAAGTGAGAGTAGTGTGGTTCTCCGACAGAGATTTCGCCCGCTAAGATGCTCCGTATGTTCCACTACATCTTGCTCCTTGAAACGGAGGAGGACGAACGTGTTTTGCGCCACGGGAGCCCTTTTTTCGGACCGAGGAGAAGCTTCTGGAGGAGTTCGGGCCGCAGGGCCTCACGAAAGAGGTGTGGGTCGAAATGCGAAAGCATTTCCAGGGCGCGGTGGAGTACGTGAACACTTGCAAACGTACTCTTCTGCACGAGAAGGAGTCCATCGACGACGCGAAGAGATTGTACGATGATGACAGGTTCTCTAAATCTTTCGAAAAGTCTATCCGTTCCATCTTGCGACGGACGGAAGAAGAAGTTCGAGACACGATCAGGGTCAGTGGGGATGTGAGGCACATCAAATGGCACGACCTCAACTGGGTGACCAGCCTTATTCCTTTCGCTTTCCCGCCTTTCCAAGCTCACAGTCATGTCACTGCGATCCGTGAGGTTGTGCGACATTACGTGTGCAACCTGTATGTCCTCGATTTCTGTGATCCCACACTCCTCATAGACTGGCGAAAAGACGATTTCGCCAACTTGCAAGGCGTTCTCCAAACACTTTCGCCTACGCACTGGGCACTTGTGGTCTTTTTCCCCTCTCGTTGGGAGCTCAGTTTCTTGAAAGGCGTGGCCAGGCTTAGCGTCCATCACGTCAGGACAGGGAAGTGGGTGCGCAATGCACAAAAGCAGGCCACTGTCCGGGAAGGCAATATGCTGGTTGAGGAGTGTAACCATCTGTACGTGATTTTTAATGGCGAAAAGCTGGAAGACAACACATTCGCAGTCTACCCGGCCAGTAGCCCGACAAAGGCTTCCCATGCTCATGGTCCAAGTCCGGCCAAACACACGGTGGCGGCCCGCTCGAAAGCTGTGTGTTCGTGACCCATCAGGACAGGCTATGACGTGTTTCGACGTGGCGGAAGAGGAAAGGTTCTATCGTAGCATGTGGGAGGACGACGGCGTGACAAGTTCTCAAGGACCTGCTTATGAGGAGATGGAGCGGAACCCGTCCCGTCTACTTAGTCTACTCGAAAACTTTTGCAAAGCTGGGCAAACTGTTTTTTTTTTTGGGAAGGCGCATGCGTCTGTCGTGTGGGAACTCCTCCGCTCCGGTCGGAACGTCGTCGCGTTGGAGAAGGAGGCGAAAATGATCGATTACCTTCACGAGTTTGTGAAGATTCGTGTTGTAGACACTTGCAATGATTGCGAGTTTGTCCACACCACCGGCGAACGAAATTGGGA